CACTAGACAAAGTCTTGAGAACAGCAAAGGACCAGGCTGGAGGAAGAGAGGAGAGGGCGGCTCTCACATCGCCCCAAGAAACAGAGTCAATTTCGGCAACTTTATCAGGAAACCAACGACAGAGGCGTTTGCGAAAAAGAACACGGATATTACCATGATAAACGTTAAGGAGAGCTTCTCGATAGAGGATGCGTTGGGGGCGAAGAGCACGCGGGGGGAGATGAGGGCGGGCTCGCTGGACATCCCGAAGCGCACGGATGGCCTGGCGGAACAGGGGGTGGAGACGATGCCAGTCGGGAAAACCATTTGCTGCAGCCTCCAGGTTCAGGGCGAGCGCAGGTGCCTGCCAGAACTCAGGCCAAGGGCGCCCAGAGATGGCGCGCACAAGGGAATACTCCTCAGCGCAGGTTCGATGGAGCATCTTTGAGATCGGTTCCCAACAGGTAAACGTGAAAAGCGCAGCCCGAATAAGTTGAACAGCGTTGAGGATCCAGAGACTCGGGATTTTCGGACCGCCCCGCTGGAATAAATTGCTCCACGATCCTTGGCTGAAACAACAAAAACGTGAGGCGAAAGACCGATGCCAGCACGCTGTGCTCACGCTGGCGAAGCTTTCGCGGGAGCACCTGAAATTGGCCGACATAGGACAGCGTGGTGGCAGCCCGTACAGAATAGAGCGAAGCCGCTGTTGACGTCGGGGCTACAGAGCGGCCGATGCTTTTCGAACGATCCAGGAATTTCTCGAACGGGCCAGTCCAAGAGGTCTCGGGAGTGACTCCAGGGCCGATCCACATCCCAAGATACTTCACCATCGGAACAACGTCGATCGAGGTCCACCTGGGGACGAGGGGGGCGATACGGGTTTCGTACATCAGTTTGAGCTCGTCAGTGAAGGGGCCCGCCAGGGGAACCAAATTGCATTTAGGAGCTTTGAGGGTGAGGTGGGCGAGCGCCTGGGCGTTCTCGAAAACGTCGGCGAGGAAGGGGAGGGACTCCAGGCTCCTAAGCACCGCTCCCACATCATCCGCGCAGGCACGAGATACGCCGCGGTCGGCATCCTCGATCAGCAGGCGAAGCGAACGCATGAATGGGTCCATGCCCCAGGCGAATAGGGAACCACTGGCGGGGCAGCCTTGTATGATGCCACTGAGCACCTCAAAAAGAACGCTGGTATGGCCGCCGATCGAGCCGACGCAGACGACGTCCTGGTACAAAAACCGAAGAAAGGTCAGAAGCGGTCCAGGAAGGTTCAGGCGTTGCAAAACCATGAAAAGCCAATCCTGAGACAGAGAAGGAAAAGCCTGCCCGAAATCATAACAGATCAAACTCGGAAGCGACGTCGTCGGCGAGGGCTGCATGCTGAATACATGGGCGAGTCCGTCGAGTTCGATAATGTTGTTCCCGAACTGGCGATGTGGCACGAAACCGTTCTGGGCGGGGTCAGTATATTGGGTGAGGGATCTCGTAAGCCCACGGATACAGAAGCCAGCCAAAATCTTGTTGTCGCAGTTCTTAAGGCCCAGGGGGCGGGTATCTCCAGCGGCGCGTATGATTCCTCCTCCCAAACTGTCTCCTGGCTCCTCCCCTTTCGGTGTGAACACCCCCGTGAGGAAGTTAAATCCGCACAAGAGCGAGTGGCCCTCCAGGACCCACTGGAGGCTCTCATACACAATCTCAGCGCCGAGCGGAGCCTTCTGCCACGCGCAGTAGGGCAGCAGGTCGGGGCCTGGCGCGCTATGACACAACCGGTGCAGGTATCGCTTGAAGGGGCCGAACGCCGGCGGCGACAGGGCGTCGGACGGCATCGCCAGGTCGAAGCGATCCAGAAAAGCAACGGCCGCTTCACCATCAAAAGGTTTGGCACGAAACACAGGGGCCCAATGGCTCGCCAAGGCGTCCAGGATTTGCCGAGGACGGTTTTCAACATGTAAATCACCAGGGGTCCGAACTCCCGCGAGAGGCATCGCTTTTCCGAACGGGGCCCACAGTCGGTCTCGTTTCCGTTGGCGAGCGGCACGCTGTCTCGCACGAAGCTGTCGGTTGGGGTTCATCACCGCGCTGTTCTCCGCCTGAAGCTTGCGCTCGGCAGACTGCGCAACTGCCCAGTGGAGCTCATTCGAAAGCTGTGTGAACGCGGCGGGATCGGCGAGCGAGAGAGTGTGAGCGTGGCGGTCAAGCAGGAGGTGTTCACGACAAAGAGGATGAGAACGATGGAGGAGACGAGCAAGATCCCAATCACGACGAAATGCCGCCCTAGCCATCCCCCGTACCATCAGATACTTCGCTAGAACACTATTCGGTCGTTTCAGAATGATCGTATTCCTCGCATGTTGAGCAGCAGCTTTCGTAAGAGATTTGTAATAACCAAGACGGAGAGGGGGAGAGAGATGATCGACAGGAGCCGCCTCCCAAGCCGCTGACAAAAACTGCCGATACTCGTCAGTCAGGAAGATCATCTCCCGCGGGATAGGGCGCTCCGCAGGAGGAAGGGGAGGGCGCACCTGGATCGTTGCCGACACCGCAGCGTGATCCGAGACCCTCGCCGCGTGCAAAACCTCGGGAAGATCGACGACCTCGCCCCCAGTAGCGTACTGCGAGAGGACCCATCCAGGGGCCGAACAAAACAGTCTGTCGATATGGGTAAGGTGTCGCTGAACGTGATTGTAGTGAGAAGGGGCTGAAAGCTGAAACTCCACCATGCGGTCCAGAACGGATTTCCATGGTTGAGGAAGGGGAACAGGCTCAGGAAGAGAAGGGTCACGTTCGCCTCGAACAGGGATGGGGGCATGGGAGGGGAGGTTGAGGTCCCCCGTCACGTGCGCATATCGGTTCAATGGGTCGCCTGCGGCCGCGTCTAGCTCAGAGGAGATCTGCTCCAGAACCGCCCTCTTCTCATCCGCAGACAGGCCGAAGTTGTGCACGTTGAAATGCGAGACCCAGGAGGTATCATTCGCAGCGCTGATCTTCGTGTGTAATACCCGTCCGGGAACCAAGGGAACATACAAGGTAAGGGGGGGGGGGGGCGTGCACTTCAGCCTGTCCTCAGAACAGGAAAAGGTGGGGATCAACGTCAACGCGCCGCCAGCGTTCGAGATGGAGTGGGGAGAGAACTCAGCAGAGAAGGGGAGATTGAGCTGGTGCAGCAGATCGGCGACATCTGCAGGGTGGCCGTGGGTCTCTTGAATTGAGACCAGCGACACAGCCCTAAGAAGAGAGCGCAGATACCTGACCTTTCGCAATCTGATTGCGTGGTCATGGTGGAAAAGAGCGCGAGCATTCCAGGTCGCAAGTCTCACTGGCGTACAGGTCGGTGACGCGGAGGCGGTCCCTGTCAGCAGAACGTGAGCTTGGCTAGGAGCACCACTCCGTCGGCTGCACGTTGCCGCAGACTGCAGCCATGATCTGAGCCTCGACGTCGGCGCGCTCAATGCCCACGGCCGCGATGTTGGCGGGGGACCACTGCACCGAAGGTGGCGAAGTCGTGGGGATCGGGGAGATCTTGAGCAGCGGGCGCCCGTTGCACGAGACCTCGCCAGTGTCCACGTCCTTGTAGAACTTCTTGGTGGGGTAGCGCTCGCGTAGCAGCTGTGCAGCGGCCTTGAGCGCAATCTCCTTCTTGACCATGCATGAATTCTTGTCCGAGCCCACAAAGATTGGCCCAGGCTCATTCGTGACGCTGTTGGCCGCGAAGCGGCGGAACTCCCCGTTGGCCAGCCGCATATTGCCCAGGCACTGTTGAACCTTCCGAGCTGCATAACTTGGGGTTCCCGCCATCTGCAACGCGAACTTGGTTACCGTCGGGTCGCCCTTGATCTCGTAATCGTCGCTGGAGATGTTGCATGAAGCGAGCCACTGGTCGAGGGCTGCTTCTGCACGAGCCATGGCCGTCTGAAGCTTGCACCTGATGATGATAACCGTCGGATCGGTGGGGCGGTTGAAGGACTGGTCGACCGCCTTGGGCGCAGGTGTGGCCGTGCGGTCGAGCTCGAGCGCGGATCGAATGTCACGAAGCTCAGCCTCCACCTTGTCCATGCGCGAGCCCTGGGACTTCTGAATGTGTTCGAGTGTGGCCATCCGTCCCTCCACAGACTTTGCGATGTTGCCGCAGGTAGTAGACAATGAGGACGTGAGAGTGGAGAGGCTGCTGGACATGGATGACTGGGCGGGTTGAACAGAAGCAGTGAGCTCATCACGCAAAGCAGAAATCGCATCCCTGAGCTGCACGTTCGTGAGGGCCGCGTCGTCGCATACCTCGAAGCCGTCCTCGTCCGTCTTGGATCTTTTGGCAGGCTGTCCGCGCTCAGGTGTGGAGATGCCTGTCGAGCCACCTGGAGACAGCTCGGAGGACGAGAACGGAGTGGATGGTCCCGATGACGCCATCTTCGCCGCGGGCACAGAATCTGTGAAGCGGCTCCCAAAAGAGGCGTGGCAGGGCCAAGGGAACTGGGCCGTGGGGCGATCTTGCCGCGGGCGCTGTGCCCCAAGCCGCTCGAGAGCAGGCTACGGACGGGCCCAGACCTAATCACTGGTTCTCGGGCGTCTATAGCCCTTCACTGCGTTTAAGTCTTGAGCCAAAATGGCTACGGACCTCCTCCTCCTCCTCCTCCTCCTCCTCCTCATCCTCCTCCCCCCCCTCCTCCCTCCTCCTTTCTCCTCCCTCCTTCTCCTCCTCCTCCTCCTCCTCCGCCTCCCTCCTCCTCCTCCTCCTCTCCTTCCCTCCTCCTCCTCCTCTCCTCCTCCTCCTCCTCCTCCTCCTCCTCCTCCTCCTCCTCCTCCTCCTCCTCCTCCCCCCCCCACCTCCTCCTCCAAATCCTCCGGTTTCTCCCCTTCCTCCTCCCCTCCTCCTCCTCCTCCCCCTCCTCCTCCTCATCGTTCTCCTCCTCCTCCTCCTCCTCCTCCTCCTCCTCCTCCTCCTCCTCCTCTTTCTCCTCCTCTGCCTCCCCAGAAGGCCGCCCCGCCTCGACGCGCCGCCAACCCCCCGCTGCCGCGCGCCGCCGGGCCTGGTCGTTGCGGATGAGGCCTCCGCCGCCCTTGGCCGAGCAAATGTGGGGCATCTCCCAGTGGTTGTTGGTGTTGGTGGGCGAGCCGTCCGCCTCCCGGGGGCGCGAGGGCGAGGGGGCGAGTCGCCGGCATTCGTCCAGAGGGACTGCCCTACGACAGCACGGCGTCTGGGCTGCAGTCCGGAAGGCACTCGGGGTCCCTGTGTGGCTCATGAGCGGGGATGAATGGGGGTCGGAGGATGAGGATGGGGGGGGGGTCCGGAGGATGAGGGGGTCTAGAGGAAGAATAGTTAGCTGCGTAAACATAGCGGGCTTCTTGGATCTGCGCTAGGCCCCCCTATCTGGCGCGCGGGGCACGCAAGGGGCGGCGCAAAAGGCGCCGCGAGGAGGAGCTCCTAGTCTTTTTCCCAACCATCCTGTGGTGTTGAGTCCTCGTTTTGAAGAGACAGCGCCCCGCGTCACTCCTCCAACGCCCCGCGTCACTCCTCCTCCTCCCCCTCCTCCTCCCTCCTCCCGTCACCCCCCTCACTTCGGCACACCCCTCACACGTTTCGTGGCCCCATAGGGAGCTCCACCGAAGGCCCCAGTGGCGCAGCCCGCATGCGCCACGCACACCCATTTCGGCACACCCCTCACACGTTTCGTGACCCGACAGGGTGCTCCACCGAAGGTCCCACTGGCGCAGCCCGCATGCGTCACGCGCACCTGTTTCGGCACACCCCTCACACGTTTCGTGACTCCATAATGAGCTCCACCGAAGGTCCCAGTGGCGCAGCCCGCATGCGTCACGCACACCTGTTTTCACACCCCTGACACGTTTCGTGGCCCCATAGGGAGCTCCACCGAAGATTCCAGTGGCGCAGCCCGCATGCGCCACGCACACCCAGCTCGGCACACCCTTCACACGTCACGTGGCCCCATAGGGAACTCCACCGAAGGTCCCAATGACGCAGCCCGCATGCCTCACGCACACCTGTTTCGGCACACCCCTCACACGTTTCGTGACCCCATAGGGAGCTCCACCGAAGATTCCAGTGGCGCAGCCCGCATGCGCCACGCACACCCAGCTCGGCACACCCTTCACACGTCACGTGGCCCCATAGGGAACTCCACCGAAGGTCCCAATGACGCAGCCCGCATGCCTCACGCACACCTGTTTCGGCACACCCCTCACACGTTTCGTGACCCCATAGGGAGCTCCACCGAAGATTCCAGTGGCGCAGCCCGCATGCGCCACGCACACTCATTTCGGCACACCAGTGGCGCAGCCCGCGTGCGTCACGCACACCCATTTCGGAAGACCCCTCACACGCTGCGTGGCCCCGTAGGGAGCCCAACCGAAGGTCCCAGTGGCGCAGCCCGCATGCGTCACGCACACCCATTTCGGCACACCCCTCACACGTTTCGTGGCCCCATAGGGAGGAGCTCCACCGAAGATTCCAGTGGCGCAGCCCGCATGCGTCACGCACGCCCATTTTTTCACACCCCTCACACGTTTCGTGGCCCCATAGGGAGCTCCGCCGAAGGTCCCTGTGGCGCAGCCCGCATGCGTCACGCACACCCATGTCGGCACACCCCTCACACGTTTCGTGGCCCAGGGAGCTCCGCCGAAGGTCCCAGTGGCGCAGCCCGCATGCGTCACGCACACCTGTTTCGGCACACCCCTCACACGCTTCGTGGCTCCATAGGGAGACACCCCTCACACGTCACGTGGCCCCATAGGGAACTCCACCGAAGGTCTCAGGGACGCAGCCCGCATGCGTCACGCACACTCAGTTCGGCACACCCTTCACACGTCACGTGGCCCCATAGGGAGCTCCACCGAAGGCCCTACCGCCCGCATACGTCCACCACAGCCATGTCGGCGCACGCCCCACACGCTTCGTGGCCCCATAGCGAGCTCCACCGAATGCCACAGTGCCGCCGACAACATACGCCCGCCACACCAATTTCGGCACACCAATCACACGTATCGTGGCCTCAACCACCGAATGCCCCAGCCACCGCCCGCATGCGTCCGCCTCACAGATTTCGTCACACCTCTTACACGATTCGCGGCCCCACAGGGAGCTCCACTGAATACGGTATTCACAATTGCGGTTCGCACAATTGCAAATGTCTGGGTCCATCGCCAAGCTAATTTTGTATTCGTGGGCGAGCCGTTCGCGTCCTGGGGAGAGGGGGTCGGATGATCGGGGGGAGGGGGCGATGGCTACGGTCGGGAACTTTTGTTTAGTGTGTCGCGGCTGCGGCGGCCCCGGCGATGAGCTATGCCTTGCGAGGTGGTAGCGTGTCGCTCCGCTCCGCGGGGCGGGGGGCTCGGTGAGGCTCGGAACGTTGACGCATGGGGGCCTCGAAGTGAATGGCGCTTCGCGTCGAAATGTGGGGTGAGGGGGGAGCCTTCAGATTCTGGATTCAGGCGTTGCATTTTGTCACTGTCACCGTGGAAGTAAGCGTCGCGAGCGGTCGCATGCACACGCCAGAGGTAGGAGGATCCACTCCTACAACAACCAGGCCTGGCCAACGGAACCCCCTCCCCCTTGCCTGGCCCCATCTCCCCTGGCCAGAGCTTGGCTGCTAGTCCTGCGCCGCCGCATGCAAGGGCATTCTCACGACGCCGCAGATTCGTCACGACGGCCTGGCTTGGCGCCCTTCTCTCCTCCTCCCGTACCCTCCAGGATGTCCCCCTCGCAATCGGAGTCGCCTCCGCCTCTTCCGGCCGTACCGCTGCTACCACCCTGAAAAACCTCGCGAAACAACTCCAGGCATGACGACAAAAGAGCAGCGCAAGAACAACACGGCTCGACCGAAGAGCAAGACGGAATGTCACGCGCAACTTCTACTGAAAACCCCCGGGCCCGAGCCAGAGGCAAAAAAACACCAGGCGGAGAGCGGAGAGCAAGTCCAAAAGGAAAACGGGTGTAACAAACGCGAGCGCAACTAGAAAAGATAAGGGCGACCGAGCGGGCGATGCAAACGTGCCCGAGCGCGGAGCACGCCTGCCACAGGGCCATCCCAGTCGGACAGGTAAGTGTGGCCCTTTCTCCCATTGAGCCATAGCATGGACATGGCACGATGTTTCGTGGAACGCGTGTGCGCACGAAATGCGGCGCGTTTTGGCTCAAGAAAGCACGCAACGACAATGTGTCCTCGCCGTTCGTCCCTCCTCCTGCTCTTGTTGATCCTGCTCCTCCTTCAACTCAATATATCCTTTGCCACCTCTGCGATGCGATGACCATGTTCACGCAAGTTGCTAAGTGGGTGCTCGCCCAAGCGAACAACACCACGGTGCTTGAGCTCATGCCGGCTCCTTAAAGGTGTCGACCTTACGCGCGAACTCACCGATCGCTCCGAGCACAGGAGCGGTTCCAGACTCGAGCTTGCTATCCGACTTGTAGAATTTGCTTTCCAACTTGTAGAACTTTCAATCTCGTTCTTCAAATCAGCTCGCAAGCTCCGGTCCGTGTCGTCTGGCGCATCGCGCACGATTGCGTACCGATCCATCGAATCTGAATCACCAGATTCTGAATCTGAACCGCGCAGGCGAGCCCACATGCTCAACCAATTTCAAAGCGTCAGCCAATTTCACCCACGGTAAGCATCGTAACTTCTGAATGGGGAGTGCCATATGCTGCAAATACATATGCGGAGCTTTCCCCTCATCGATGTCAGAAGAAGCTCCGGAATCTCCGATCAGAAAGTTCATTGGTAGCAACGTAATCCGGGCTGCACTGGCGAAGTGTAGCACGTGCGCGAACACATGTGCGCTGCCAGGGTCAGGATCTTCTGGCTCCCACGGGTCGCCACCATCGTTGACAAACATGAGGTCGACACTTTCAAAACCAAGTAGCTCACATGTGCCCAGAAACCCTGGACGAACACTGTGGGAAAAGGCTGCGTAAACAGGAGAAGGCTCCACGCGCACGCCGAGCGTGTAATGCGCATGCGCGGCCACAGCAAACGTAAAACCCACGACGGTAAGAATGTGCCTGCGCTCTGGGATGTTCGGAAAATCGGCTGAAACTGGACGCCCACCGATCTGACCACCCGCAAGTTGCAACAAAAACGCGCAGCCACGGGGACCCGATCCGCAGAGCCAGCCAGAAGCGATCCTCCTGGCTGAACTCGTCACTGAAGGGTGTGAGCCACCATGTCACACTGAAGAAAGAATATGATCCAATCCGCGGGCGACGCGTTTACATATTTAACCAAGGCTGAGAACAATGCGAAGAAGGCGTCGACAACGATATTTGATTCTTCCGTCTAGCCATAACAACGGCACAACTTGCAATGGCTCCTCGACGCAAAGCTTGGCAATACCTAGCGCCCGTTTCTTGATTGCTTGGGGCATGACAGGCGTCATGGCCCCCGCTCCCCCCCGCCCCCCTATGACGTAACGCTCCCCCCCAGTGCGCTCCGGGCATTGCCGCCGTGCGCATTGGGATCCGCGTAGGTGTCCGCGCAGGAATCCGCATAGGTGTCTGGTCTGGTCCGCAATCGTCGTCGTCGTCGTCGTCGTCGTCGTCGTCGTCGTCGTCGTCGTCGTCGTCGTCGTCGCTAATGGCTCGTTCGTCGCTCGTCGCTCGAGCGCGCGGACGCGGCTGGAGCCTGTTTTTTAGTCCAGGCCGGTGACGGCAATCATCTGGGGGGGGAGGGGGTCGATGACGTCACGTTTCGCGCCGGCGGCGTCTGGGAATGCTTAGGAATGACGGAGAACGGGTAGCACTAGCATGTGGGTGGCGATCTGCACCACAACGCCTGTGTACATCACAGTGCCCGCGTGCACCGCAGCGCCTGTGTACACCACACCGCCTATGTACACCACAGCAGCCGCGTGCAACACAGCGTCAGTTTGTGGCACCGTGCCTGCGGGCACAACAGCTCCTGCGTACACCACAGCGCCTGCGTACACCATATCGGCCGTGTGCAACACAGCACCAATGTACAACACAATGCCTGCGTGCATTGGAGTGCCTGTGTACGCCACGGCGCCTGTGTGTGCGCCATATCAGCCGTGTGCAACACGGCACCACTGTTGTGTATAGAATGTTAGAAAGAATCCTCGTGACAAAATGGAGCGCTTGTGAAAAGAG